CGAGAGCGGTACTGACTAGGTGCCTCCTGTCTTGAGGACAAACAAAGTAGCGTTGACCCCCGCGCTCCATATTTTCGTCTCGTGTCACATTGTCGTATGAACAATATGTTCACGTATTCTGAGTTCCATCACTCGCTGATGGATGACTCAGGAGACATTCGGTCAATTCGGCCAATTGTGCATGCATCCCTTATTTGCGCGCATGCACTCTTACACGTCAGCAGATGATAGGTCGGTTGTCTTCTCCACTCGGGACGGTGACACGAGGGTGGGGTCATCACAAGTCTACCCTCGCACTAATGTAACCCGGGGACGCGCTCTGTTGCCGCGTCAATATTATCGGCATTATACCGCCTGTACTCGCCGGTTGGGGGTTGGCTAGCCCAAGCCGAAAGGGAGAACAGGTAACACTGGGCTGATGATTCGTGTCGGCATCGCCAGCTAGGCCTTGGTAACATTGCCAATCCAGCATACTGTCCCACTCGGTCGTCGTTACATCCGTACACTCAGGCGTATGCATAAATAGCTAGCCAGGCAGGGATCACCTCTTCGGCCTTCCTCATTGGTCCGCCTACCCTCCTCTAATCGTCCGGAATTTCCCACTTCCATTCCAACTCGACCCCTCGTTCGCTATTCTCCTCACCAATTCTCTGACCCCCATTGAGAGACATTTAACAAGTCTGACTGTATCTTCCATCAGCATGCGGGAAATGTCGACATGAAGCCTTCTAAGTACTTCAGCTTAGCAACAGAGACGCCTTGTTATGGGAGTCGAATTGATAGTTGAAGTGACGGCGTTTGTCTCTTCTATAAGTGTCGACAGAGGAGGAGATTTACAAGGCCAGTTAACAGTTCCGTCATGGATGCAGCTTGCCCGCCTTCCCGCCCCTCTTTGCCTCAGGGACACATGGGGCGAGATACACTCCCACCTACCAACAGCACACTCCCACTCGCCTACCCATCTACCTACCTTTTTTGCAGCTCACCTTCGCGAAAGTCACATCCTTAATCTCCCGCCCTCGCTTTCTCATCTTCCTGTCGTAAGCCAAATCAGACAGGGGGCCAAGACAGCAACAGCTGTTGCAAGATGTTATCCAGTCTCGGAGAATGAAGCAAAGGCAATTATGTGTTTTAAGTGGCGCGCGCGCGCAAATTGTGGTGGGCTTTAAAGGCTAACTTGTTGCCTGTAGACTTCTAGACCGACAGAAGAAGATGAAAAGGACTGGCAAGCAGATGCATCGGAGGACGAGAAGGAGCGATGAGAGGCCGCTAACTGGTTGTGAATGGACAAGAGAGGTCAAGACATGTCGTCCACGTGGTCTAGAAATCATGTGAAGAGGCCGGTCTACCCAGAAAGGTTTGCATGTCCAACCGCATGTTTAGGTTTTTCGATTCATTCCCAAACACTAGTTGCCTTTGCAGAAAGACTTACTATGGCGGGCGAAGTGGTCATTGATACGACTAGTGAGTTGGCAACGGAGGAGGGGCAGAGGAGGGAGTTTGTTCGGTGGGGGATAGTTGCTGATTGTTTAATTGTCATGAGTTGCCATGACGAGGCTTATACATGAATAATAACTCATTATCCCTATGACGCTTTAGGCGAGTTAGTGACTGATAATTTTGTTTTTCCCGCAATTCTACGAGTAGATCTCACAATGCCATTGAATTTCGTTTAGTATTACCTCCTAACAGTCATTCTCATCCGAGCTAGACTGCAGGTTTGGCCTCGATTTATCGTCTAATCATACTCCTCAGCGGGATCAGAGCTCGAGTCTTGAGCATTGTGAAGAGCCAGGCCTCTCCAAATTCACATTTGTGGTGGGAATGTCGATGATACGAAGAAAAGTTGGGTTTCGAGAAATCTCTTGTTTCATAATTGTTGAGCTTACTTCCATTTCGAGTGGAAGTGTTTGGTGAAAAGATTCCATGGTCCGTTCCACCAAAGACGACGGCGGATTCTCTTGACCAGATGTCGATTGGCTTTACTGGAAGATTCATGCTGACGCTGTTTCCGAGGAAATCTCCATCGATTCCGGTGAAAAGGTGCTAAGCTTTCGTCCGTTATATGACGGACATCATCAGAGCGAGGTAAAATCGTCATTCTACGAGTATATCTCACAATGTCATGGAATTTCGTTTAGTATTACCTCCTAACAGTCATTCTCATCCGAGCTAGACTGCAGGTTTGGCCTCGCTTTATCGTCTAATCATCATCCTCAGCGGGATCAGAGATCGAGTCTTGAGCATTGTGAAGAGCCAGGCCTCTCCGACTTTTGTGGCGGGAATGTCGATGAGACAAATGTGTATTTGCCAGTACAATTGATAGCATTACTCATA